CGCCGCCGCCGGTGGTGCCGCAGGTGGTGTCGAAGCAGCTGAAGCCGCTGAGTCTCTGCTCCTCGTCTTCCGACCTCATTGTCGGGCAGAAGGTTTTCGCGATTGGCAACCCGTTTGGTGAGTATTTTGCAGAGCTGGGCGCTTGGGCTGTGGGGGGAGGGCTCCCGTTGTCTGTAGCCGCTCGCTCAATCGCCGCCGCGGCCAGGTTTTTGTGCTCAACTCATTCAATCTTCCCCCTCCCCCAAAGCACTCCGACATTGGAACGCACTCACAAGGTCACCCACGCACCACATGCACTCAACCATTCGATTTCCCCACCCCTCATCACACACACACATCCGCACGCACCTCGCCCACCGCAGGCCTTGACCACACGTTGACCGTGGGCGTCGTCAGCGGGACGGGGCGCGAGATCCAGTCCATCAGCGGGCGGCCCATCCAGGTGAGTTGCAAGGACTCTTAAGGTTCCGCAGCAAACGCGCCACCAGCGGCGCGGCGGTCGCTGCAGGGCCATTCTCCGGTCGCAGCTCGGGCGGGGAGCCCGCGAACCTCCGCCGCCTTTCTGCCAGGGACAGCGGGCATCGGCGTGTCCCCGCTACCCCCTTCCTGTGGAAGCCGAGCGCGCGCGACCCCTCTGCCCCCGTTGCATGCCGCGGCCCCTCCCCACAGGACGTCGTTCAGACCGACGCAGCCATCAACCCTGGTGCGCCCGCGCCCGCCCAACTTGCCTTGCTGCCTGGCAAACGGCGGCCGCCTTCGCTCAGCCCCTGGCCACCAGTTGATCGTGTCCAGCGCCTGGAGCACTCGACCCTTCGTTCTCTGCACTCATTTGTTTCACCACTGCTGGTTGTTTTTCCTGTGCATCGCACCCCGCGTCGAAACCCCTCCCCGCCGCCCTGCCGCCCTGCCGCCCCCCCCCCACAGGCAACAGCGGCGGCCCCCTGCTGGACAGCGCCGGCTGCCTCATCGGGATCAACACGGCCATATACTCGCCCAGCGGCGCCAACAGCGGGGTGCGCGGGTGCGGGGCGTGCGGCAGCACGCGCGGACGTGCGTCCATGCTTTGGCGAAAATGGGGTGCTGGCGGCTCTTGTCGTCGTTCGCAGGTGCAACACGTTTGCCGCACACTGTGACAGTCAAGCAAGCTCATGACAATCCGATGATCCTCTTTGCCCCAATCCCCCCCCCCCCCCCCAAAAAATCATTGTTGATCACTAGGTGGGCTTTGCCATCCCCGTGGATGTTGTGAGGAGCAGTGTCAGCCAGATTATTGAGACTGGCAGGGTGAGGGGGCCTGGGGGGGAGGGGCATCGGCGAAGCGGGGGGTCTTTGGCGGGACCCCGGCAGGGGTGATGAAAGCGAGCGCAGCACGGCTTGTGCTGCTTGCGCCCCTCTTTCAGCCCGTGCTACAACTCGGTGTTGAAATCACCTCTTTATCCATGGTTTGGCTGCGCTGCTCGGCGGCAGGATCTGATCGGGACTGTGTGTGCTCACTTGTTTTTGTTTAAACGTGATGTGCGGTCGCGTCACCCCCGTCCCCCAGGTGGTGCGGCCCGTGCTGGGCATCAGCTTTGCGCCGGACCAGAGCACAGAGCAGCTGGGGGTCAAGGGTGAGCGCGATGGCGGCGGAAAGGGTGTCGTATGTCCGGGGCGAAGGTTGGCCTGCCAAGTTTGCTTGCACTTGCACGGCCTGTTTGGTGGGGCGACATGCCCGGGATGGGGGCTCGTATGGTCGAGCGTGGCCGCTGTCACGGCTCAGTGCTCCGCTTCATAAGCTCGGTCCTGCCCGAGCAACAGCTCCGAGCAGCCGAAGTGCGACATGTGTATGCATTCACATGCGATTGCAACACCTGCACGCTTGCGCCTGCACACACCCATGCACTTGGATGCTCTCACGACTCCCACGCTCGCGCGCCCCCCAGGCATCCTCGTCCTGTCGGCTCGCGAGGGCGGCCCCGCCTGGCGCGCCGGCATCCGCGGCACCAGCCGCGACGACTACGGCCGCCTCGTGCTCGGCGACATCATCACGCGCATCAACGGCGCCCGCATCAGGAACAGCAGCGACCTGTACAGGGTGCTCGACAAGGCGGAAGTTGGGCAGCAGCTGGACATCCAGGTGCTGAGGGGGGACGCCGAGGAGCACCTTGCGGCCACGCTCGAGCCCAACACGACGTAACGATGACGTCATTGCGGGCGTCACAAGTGACGCCGCAGGGCGGCTTCCATCGTGGTTGGACGGCAGCTGGTGGTGTACACAGGCTGTATGGATGGCAAGAAATGAGGCCGTCGATTTGAGCTTCCACCCAGGAAGCAGACCCTTGGGACGGCCTTGCCTCTTGGGTGCAAGCTGAAGGCGACGGCTGATTGATTATTGATTTGGCTGTCAGCGCGGGGCGACGTGGTGCGTGGCTGGCATTGCAGCCAGCAGCGTGCCCGCCGGGGACAAGTTAGGGACTGCAGGGGTGGTAATCAGAGTCAGCAACTGGTGCGGTACAAATTTTCAGAGGCACCTGGGTGCGTGTTGCCTGCGGCGCGCGTGCGTTGCTATGTACAGTACGCTTTTGGCGGCGTCCTTGTTTTCTTATGTGGCATGTTGTTTGCGTGCACTCTCGCGCGCGCTGCTGTAACATACTCGCTGCTTGCTTCGTGGTGCGGGGGTACAAGTGCAGTCGAGTAGTGACGACAGAGGGTTTCCGGTGTTCTCACCGAATGGGGTCCAGCTTGTGCGCCACTTAGCCGGTGCCCTTGTTAGGAAGTCTCATGGCTGATGTGACAGGTATTTGAGACCAAAAGAACGTGATGGCCCTGTATGGATAGGCTGGCCAGCACTTCGATTAGAGCGCAAGGTGTTAGCCTGAACTGATTGGGCAGCTGCTCAGCTGCAGTCCTGCCTGGGTCCTTCTTGGATGGCCTCAGCTGTCGGTTGCAGGTTTGAATCAATCTCGTGCGCCATGCGTCCGAGGTCGTTGAATAGCGGCCTTCGCCAGGTCTGTTTCTGACGTGGCGTGCCCACGCCACTCGTCTACACAGAGCAACAACGTGTCACTCCAGGTCACCCGAGCACTGCGACGTGTGCGAGTTCGCCACAAGCTAGCGCAATTGTTTTGGCTTCGTTAGAAAGACCTCCTGAAGAGATCGAGAGACTCCAATTGACATCCTAGCTCGATTTCACCCTCGGTCCAGGTCGATGCTTGCACGCCTCGCCCCATACGCTTCGTCAGCGACATTAAATCCACGATGCAGCAGCGCTGCAGCGACCAGTGGAGGCTGTAACCTGCGGCGCTGCCATGCGGCGCCAACGCAGCACGCGCGGCCTGGGCAGCGGCGCACGCTGCTGATGGTCAGGGCCGCTGTCAGCCCTACTGCCTACTCCTGGGAGACCCAGAGGCTCGTCAAGGTGGTCGCAACTCGTCAGGCCATCAAGACCCTGGTGCGGCCCTGTGCACACCCGCTTGCCATCGCTGACCATCATGCTGCATGCTCACCATTCTACGTCCACGATCCAATTGCCGCGATGGGGTGGCCGTGTTGTGAATGTCCCCACTGATCCACGCTATTATTTCGTCGCAGCTGAACTACCTATCTGAGACCAACGGGGAGCAGCACCTGTGGCTGCACAATTACGTGGCCGACACCCCCATCCCGCTGTCAGGTGGGCAGCGGGCGCCTGGCTTTGCCCTGCTGCTGCCACGCCCCTGTGGCGTGGGGCCGTGCCAGCCAGGCAGCCCACAAAAGGGCAAGGTATCACGGGCATCAGCACCTAGTAGGCGCACCATACGCATTACCACCAGCCGGTCACATCCGAAGGCGGCAGCCGTTGCGCTCTGCACCACCTCCCGCTGTCATCATCTGGCGATGTGCCCCGCCATGCCATTTCGTTTCAAATCGGCAGGCGAGACAGACCCGGACGAGTGGCTGGCCAGGCTTGCGACAACGCCCCTCACTAAGGTAAGCCGGGCCCACGTCAAATTGACTGACGTGCAGCATGAAGCCCTGGATCCCCGCCACCCGCCTGGAGGACTCCGGCAGCATCAGCAGACCCGATCGAGTGCCGTGCGCCGAGCGGGCCGCAGCAGGGCCGCCGATCGCACCATTTGCACGCAGACGCGCCCAGCCAGCACCTATCCGGCTGCGCTCGGGGGGTGGGGTGGGGGGCTTGAGAGCAGCAGCTGAGGGTGTCGAACGGAGGCTGAGCTTGCCGTTGCCGTCCCACAAGCTAATGCCGGGGCCCTTGCGCATTTCTCGCCAGGTGCAAAACCCGGGGAGGTCGTCTGTGCCTACAATGGCGGCCGCGGCAGCGGTCCTGAACGGCGAGAGGGAGGTGAGGTGCTCGTCCCCGCAGCCACCCCAGCAACCGCCCTTTCTGGGTGTGACAGTGTCCCCTGCAGTGCCAATCGGCCTGAGCCATGGAGCAGCTGCATGCTGCAGGGTGCCTGTTTCTGTGGGCGCGTGGGAAACCCCGCAACCCATCAAGGGCGCGCGGGCACGCACATGCTTGCGCATGTCGGATGCATGCTAGGTATTCGGATGCATACATGCGTTCGTGCACACGCGGATGCGCACTGCATGCAGCTGCATCACACACAGACACGCGCTCCCCTGTGTCCCCACAACCACCGCCAGGTCAGCCCGCGCGATGTGGCGGAGCGCATCATGGCGCTGCGTCAGCATATTGCTGCAGAGATGTCTGAGGGGCTTGGGAGAGTAGGGGAGGCAAACGCTGCCGTCAGGCGAAGGTAAGCCACACGCGCGCGCGCGCGCGCACATGAGGCTTCGCATATTGAAGTGCGGGCTGCCCTGTTTGCAGACAATGCAGAAAGCGCGCGGCGTCTGCTGAAGCAGCGGGAACGAGAACCCAGAAGTACCCTCCTAAGCAGCAACTTGGAGGCAAGGACAGCTGAGCTTACACCCCTTCCAACCGGCCCTGCAGGGCTCTCGAGCTGAGCGTTGTAGATTTCAAGCCAACCCTGTGAGTGCGTGCAACCTCTGGAAACGTCATCACTGACCCGGTGCGTTCTGCCACGGATCTGATGGCTGCCATGCCTCCTACGCCTGGAAGCTGCTCGTGCAGCTTCCTCCTGCTCTGTACACCCCCGATGCTAGTCGTGACGACAGGGCCTGTGCTCTCACTGCTTCTGTGCATTCGGATATTGCTGTATCAAGGGCTGGGGACTCCTTTCAGTCTCGCCCTTTGTGCTGGCTTGTATGTGATGCAATTGTGTAATCTGAACCTCCTCACTTGTCCTCTGGCATAGCCCGTACTGCACCCTTGCTGTGGCCGCCCGCGCTGCTTGCATTGTTGCGACATGCCAAGAACGCATGTCCACGCGCAGCCCAGTGGTGTCTGGCTGGAAGGTCATGCAGGGGACTTTGACCCCAATCTGGGAGCAGCCGCTGCTGTTGATTCTCAGACAGCACTGAGCAGCACGCGAGGGCAGCTAGGGTCCTGCACAGATTAATCAACTGGGAGCCTGGGAACTGGGCGTGCCTCGGGTTGATGCGCAAGCGAGACTCAATCTGCCATCAATATCGTGACACACTCAGCTCGCAATTGCTACCATACACTGCATGCACATGCTGACATAGACAAGCAGTCAACCAAGCACAGCAGTGGCGCATGACTGAGAGAGACCGCAGCAGCATCCCCGCTAGACGTGCGTCAATTGCATCATGGCGTGGCGACCCCCGTTTCAAGGAAACCCGATCGTTCCAGGCAAGCGCACTATGCGCGGGAGGCCGATATTGATGCTTCCGGCACATCCCACCCTTACACGTATCAATATTGTATCACAGGACGTTCAGATTTCGACAATCGCCATGTCCTGGGATCAGAGGAGCGCCAGCCCGGCCCGGTAAGCAGCGCGACGGCACGAATGGAAATCCCGCCGCTTGTGCTGCCGCATGATCCCAGTCTGAGTCACATCCCGCAGCTCAACGCAGGCTGCAGCAAACCTCGCCCTGCGCATATGCATTCTCCGACAGAAGCTGACCACATCCCAGCGCGCCAGTGCCGCGGTCGAGTCCTACTGGTTGGAGCGGGCCAGTGTGGCAGCGGCCACGCCGTCGGGTGCATTGCCATCTTCCAGCCCCCAGCAGCGGCCACACTCGGCCGCCTGGCCAGGCGGCGAGCGCGAGGCGGCGCGCAAGACCAGATCTGCGTGTGAGTGGCTTGCATCGGGCCCCCTTCGACCGCCCGCAGCGGGCGCTTGCAGCAGGGGGTGGGTACAGGTGGCGCAACTGCGGCTTCCGCAGTTCCCCTCTGGCCAGTCCACTGGTGCTGTCCTGCATGCCGCAAAGCCAAGTGCCGTTTTGGGACTGTTCTCATGCCGCAGGCTGGCAGGACAGCGTACACCTGGACCAGGTGCCCGGGACCTGGCAGCCGTCGTGGCCCGGCACCCCCCGCGACATCGAGGAAAAAGAGGCGGTCAGGTGGGGCGAGCTGCAACACAAGCCAGGTCGACATGCGCGCACCGCGTTTGCTGGGTCGACGGCCCCAACCACGGCGCATGGCTGGCGGCGGGCCTGCTGGTGCACCCAAGCACGCCATGTGAAGATGGTCCCGCCGTGCATGCATACATCGCTTGCGATGCAGCTACCCAATTGTGCCATGTGGGGCGCTGATAAAAGCACCTGCGATTTCGCCGTAGGACCCGTGGCGTGATTGGTTACACCGGGCGGCAGCCGCGGTCAAGGCAGGTTCCTGAGGCAGATACAGCGCCCGCCATGCGGCTGCCCTCGCCGCTGCTCGCCGCTCGCATCGCCGGGCCCCGCAGCAGCGGGGCCGGTGCGCCGGACCGGCTCGAGGCAGAGCACCTAGGGGAGCGCCAGGGGCCCGTCTTCAATTGTGTGGCGTCTGCCCCAACGGTGCAAGAAATGGTGCGTCCGGCTGCAAGTGGCCGGCAAGGTCAGGGTTGTGTCCTTGGCGGCAGGAATGTGGAACGCCAGGTCAGTGGTGGCATGCGTGGAGGCGGGCGGGTTGGCATTGAGCTGGTAGCGCAGTCCCAGCAGCAGCAGCAGCAGCAGCAGCAGCAGCAGCAGCAGCAGCAGCAGCAGCAGCAGCAGCAGCAGGTGCGAGCGTCAGTAGCAGCAGGTGCGGCGTGTTCGGCGCCCACTGCTCAGCCCACGACGTACGGCTCTGCCTACAGCAGCCATTCCGTCGGCCCGCCGGGCAGCTGGCTGGCGGCTGCCACGCAGCTGCCGTGGGCCTCGCCCTCAAGGGGCAAGCCGGGCAAGCCCCTGCAGGGTCAAGCGAGCAGCGGCTGCAGCGGGATACAGCCGGCGAATGCAACCAGGGACGGGCCCACACAGCCAGGTGTGGGCCTGGGCGGGCTGCCGTATGGTGCAGCTGACGTGCGGTACGCGGCTTACGGCGGTGTGCGCAACAGCATCAGCAGTATGTGAATTGCCTTCAACCCTTAATTGAGCTTTCCTACACAACTGTGCCATGTGACTTGATTGTTGGTGAGGAGAGGGCACCAGAGAGCGGGGGGAAGGCCCGAGCTGGTTTGGGGCTGCAACACGGAAACCTGCAGCACATGATGCATGCGTGTATGCATTCGTGCGTGCTGTGTTGGCAGCGCACCGGGCAGATTTGCAGCCAGGGCGGTTTGGATCAGTGCGTGGCAATTGCACGCGTGCTGTCTTGTCAGCAGGATGTCTGAGTCCCTTGAAGTTGGCCACCCAGTGTGAAGAACACCCATAAGCCGCGCTGGTTTCTGTCCACCCGCCACCAGCACCGAGGGAAAATGGCAGCTGAAGTGGCTGACGGCTGCCGACACATTGTCAATGGTGGGGCTGTTCTTGGGACAACGCACCTCCTGAAACATCTAGACCTCGGCATCGACCGCCGCATGCAGGCGCCCCATGCCTCTTTCTGCGTTTAGACGCACACAATGTCAGCTGCTAGCATCCTGCCGAGGCCTGCTCTGCCTGGCACCTGCTCCTGCTGCTCCTGCAATAGCCAGTTGATCCCTTGCCGCTTCCCTGCAGCGCACCCCAAGCGCCACTTCCAGCAGCCTGCTGCAGCGTGCCTCCACTGCCACTGAGCCGCTGCTCTGCCAGCGCTGTCACCACTCCGGTTGATCCGCACGCATCATGAGTAAGCGATGGTGCTTACACGCGCACAAGCGCCTAGGCAGCCCACCGCAGGCCCGTCCCACGTGCCAGCCATCCAAAGCTGCGCCACGCGAGCCACCCAGAACGCCCTCCAGCCGCCACCAAACGCGCGCCGGCCAGCACGCCGCGCCCGCACCAGCTGCCGCCGCGCCCGAGAGAGCGCTCTACTTGAGGGGGATGAAGCGCGACGAGTGGGTGGCGCCGATACCGGGGCGGCCGTGCTTCACAGGCTTGTAGCTGATGGAGAACTCCGCCAGGTAGTGGCCCACCTGATGGGGGTTTTCGAGAGCCGGAGGGGTTAAGGATACATGCAAGTGCGCCGGCAAGCTCCACTGAGCTTTGCTGCAAACTAGCTGCAGCCGCGACGGGCACCGCCTACGTTGTCGGCCGCCTGCCGCCGCGCGTGCCATGGCCTTCCGCCACCACCACGCCTCGCCGTTGGCCGCCTAAAACCGCATGCGATGTCGCCGATCGCTCGCCGCCTCCTGCGCCTTTGCTGTGCGCCCTCTCTCCCCGCTGCCGCCATCCCCGCCACCCTCCATCGCTCCGCCGCCGCCGCGCCCGCAGCTCCGGCCTCACTGGCGATCCCCACTGGCAAACAGAGCGCTCACAAGCGAGGCGACTGCCGCTCACCATCTCAGGCTTGATCTCAACCTGGTTGAAGGTCTTGCCGTTGTACACGCCCACCACGCTGCCGATCATCTCGGGCACGATGATCATGTTGCGCAGGTGCGTGCGCACCGCCTCGGGCTTCTCGCCGGAGGGGGCGGCCTTCTTGGCCTTGCGCAGCTTCTTGATGAGCGCGAGGGGCTTGCGCTTCAGGCCGCGCTGGAAGCGCCGGCGCGCGCGCGCGTTGAGGATGTCGACCAGCTCATCCGTGTTCATGTCCAGCAGCTGGTCCAGGTCCACGCCCCTGTAGCTGAACTTGCGGAACGTCCGCTTCTTAGCCTCGCCCGCCTCCGCCATGATTGCTGGTTGCTGCTCGGGCTGTGTGTGCGCGCGGGGTGTGTGAGCCCGTGAGGCAGCGTAATGTACAGGGCACTCGCTGTGGTGCTAATGGGTGCATGTTTGTCACACACATGAACAGCGCCGCGTCGCTGCCGCAGCACAGCACAGGCAGGGGCCGACAGCAGCAGCCGTCTCAAGGCTGTCCCCTGGGACGCGCATGGGCGAGCTGTGCGCCGCCGGCCGGCATTCTCTAGGTCAAACAAATCATGGCCAGCTGCACAACACCGTCCTAGAGGCCAGGAAGCACGCGTCGTTCTGCTGCTGATCGAGGCCGACGAACGCCCACCTGCGTGTCAACGCTGTCCCGGAGGTGTGCAACCCTTAGTGTTGCTAGCAAAAGGACCGGGGCACGCGCTTGCAGCGGGTTTGGTGTGTGCTGCAAAATGCCAGTGGAGCCGAAGGGTCGGCGACAACAGAAGGGGTTGTAAGGCCGTTTTTACGAGTGTTTGATATGGGTTCTTGGACATCTGATAACATGCTTTGCACTCAACAAGCTGTTGTGTCTGTGTTGTCCCCAGATCACAAGTTGCATCAATCGAATGCTGCATCAGTGCAACATCCCCGGGTCTATGAAGAAAATGCCGTGACGTCAACTGGATAGATTTGATTCAGCTTGCATTCAGACAGCCCCTTGGCGCGTCGCTGTCGAGCAGCGATGGCCTTGCCATGCTGCTGCTCCGCTGCGGCCGCTGCTGCTGCAGTGCCGCGCTTGCTGCATCCGCCGCGCACGACGCTCTGCCGCTGCCTAGCTGGCGTGCCACCCACGCGTAACCGGTCACACCCATTGCTCGATGTGTCTCGCAAGAGCACTAGCAGCAGCTGTGTCAGCGCCAGGCTTGCCACCCCTGCACCACCGGCCTCCTCTGTTCACGGGGGCGCCGGCGCGGCGCCCATTGACAGCGAGCCCGAGCCCCCGTCCAAGGCGCGCAAGCAGCAGGTTCGCCGCTGTAGGCCGCAGCTTTAGGGTTGACCCTCAACTCGCGGGCCGCAGGCGCTGCCCTTGCGCAGCCCCCGACACTGGCCGCTCCTCGCCACCCGCCCGCCTGCCCTCCCAGCACTCGTCATATTGCACGTGCACGCTGTGCTTGTGAGCCGTGGGCTGTGCCGCCCAAGCAACGGACCCTCAGAGGGGCAGCCATTGCTTCCACCTCCTCGCCTCACTGCGTTCCTCCCTATCGGCACCCTGCTGAACCCACAACACCCCAGGTGTTCCATTACCGCCACTTCTCAATCCGCCAAGATCTGTGCGCAATGAAGGTCGGAACAGACTCGATGCTACTGGGCTCGTGGGCGCCGCCGCCGCGGCGAGCGCCCGGCCCGGCGGCCGCCGCACCGCCTCCGCAGCGCCGCCCCGTCGGCGGCTGCAGCGACGAGGAGGGCGGCGGCGGCGGCGGCGGCGGCCGCCGCGCGTCGCCTCCGCTGCGCGTGCTCGATATCGGGACCGGCACCGGCGTGCTTGCCCTCATGATGGCCCAGAAGTCGGAGCCCGGGACCCTGGTGGATGCGATCGACTCTGATGAGCTGGCGGCCGCCCAGGCGGCGCTCAACGCGGCGGCCAGCCCGTGGGCGGCGGCGGTGCGGGTGCGGCACGCCAGCCTGCAGGAGTGGGCGGCGGCGGCGGCTGCGGCGGCGGGGCCGGGGGCGGCGGGGGCGGCTTCGGGTTGTGCAGGCATCGGCGGAGGCGTGGGCGCAGTCCGCGGCCTGGCGGGGCCGGTTGTGGGGAGCGGCTTGCTGCTGCAGCACGAGCATCATCAACAGCAGCAGCAGCAGCAGGAACACAAGCACCAGCAGCAGCAGCAGCAGCAGCAGCAGAACGGCGGCCTCCTACAGTATGACGCCATCATCACCAACCCGCCCTTCTTCCAGCGCAGCAGCAAGCCGGAGACCTGCGGCCGCCGCGCCGCAGCCCGCCATGCAGATGCCGACTCGGGCCTCCCCTTCCCAGACCTTGCCGCCGGCGCCGCCGCTCTGCTGCGGCCGGGTGGCGAGCTCTCCGCCGTGCTGCCGCCGCCCGAGGCGGCGGAGTTTGTGGCAGCTGCGGGGGCGCGCGGCCTCGCGCTGTGCGCGCTGACGCGGGTGTTTTCGCGGGCTGGGAACGCGCGCCCCAAGCGGCTGCTGCTGCATTTGGTCAAGGCGGGGGGCGGGGACAGCGAGGCCGAGGCGCGGGGCGGCGACGGCGCCGGGCTGGGTCTCGTCGCTGAGCTGGCGAGTGCGGGGCTGTCGCGGCGGCACGAGCTGATCCGCGCGCTGGAGGCGGCGGGCGGGCGGCTCGACATGCGCGGGGCGGCCAAGGGCGGGAGCGACGACGCGTTCACGGCTGAGTATGTGCAGCTGACTGCGGACTACCACCACCCGGACTTTTTCAGGCCTTGAGGGGCCCCGGATCTGACATGGCGAATGGTCCGGACTGGGACCGAGCGCGATGCCAAGCTTTGTACACAAGAGCGACCCGAGAGCTGTTCATTAATTGGGCGGGGCCGCCTGACATGTTTTGCTGCGCGTGGTGCAGGCGCTGACGGGGCACTTCACTGCCCTGCTGCGTGTGAGCAACGACATGTCCCTGCACCATCGCGTGTGTGAGAGAGGAGAGTCGGCCGTGGACAACGGCCGCCGTTGATTGTGCTGACGCACGACGCAGAGCTGATGTCATTGGGTCTCAGGGTCCAAGGATCTCTTGTTGCGGCCCTTCAAAGGTTCTCCCTGCTGCGATATGCAGGCAGTGACTTGGCCACGTTTGCTGAGTCTGGCTCTGTGCAACAAGCAATGCACTGGAACCCGGCAGCTGGCCGTGGCTTGGATTTTGGGCCATTTTACTCATTTGGAGCCTTGCAATCAGAAACATCCCCCATGTTCCCACAGTCGCCTAATCCATGGATGGCGGAGCACAGGCCAGCATTGCAACGCGGACAGGGGCCGCTCACGCGCTGGGCTAAAGAAGGGGGGCGGCCGGCGCCTCGCAGCGGGATCAGTGCCGCCGCCCTTGCAGCCTAGCGTGTGCGTCTAAGGCGGGAACGACCGCGATGCAGGTTGCGCGGCTGAGTATGGCGAGAATCTATTGCCAACACTGCCCGTGCAAGCGCACTAGAGCCCGGTCCAGATTTCTGATGTGTCAGGCCAGCCACAGTTGTCAGCTCGGGTCAAACCCCAATGAAACTCTGAGTCAACCCTGAGTCAACTCCCGAGTCAAACAAGCCGCGTAGGGTCAACGCTGGCCCGCCCCACCCATGAAACGCAGCCGTCAATGCTTGGAGGGTGTGCAGAGTGCGGGGCGCTAGCTTTGGTTGGGACAATGAGCGCGCAACCTGGGTCGCAGCTAGCTGCTGCCGTCGCCGTCTCCCCAAGCACGGCGCCCCCGCACACCGCCGCCCTGCTTTCCGTCAATAGCGGAGCGCTCTGCGATTGAGCCATCATCTGCGCACTCCTCGTCACTGCTAGAGTCATACACGCCGCCGC